TATATTTAAAATATTTATGGGAATCCTCTTTGGGGTGGTCTCTTTCGGTTGTTTTCTAGGCTGGAGAGAGAATTATATGACTTCCGCCTTCTCTTGTTTGGTCTCGTTCCTGTTCCAGACTTAACTAACCCAGCTGTTGCTGCTGCTGCTGCTGCTCTTTCAAGGCAAATCGGGGCCGTCTCCGCGCATAGGTAGGCAAAGCCAGGGCGCCGGAGCACTCTGCCGTTCCCGAGGCTCTTCTGGCCGGCTCCCACCCTTTCACTTCACCCCGAGTATTAATCTGATCTGTGGGAAAGGAAGCAAAACAAAGAAAGGGTGGGGGCGCAAGAGAGGCATACTTCAGATCTGTACATATTTTTAAAGAAAATAAAAGAATTTTAAACATCGTTGGTTAACATGGGCTAGATTGCTTATTATGTACTTTCTAACTCTGCGTGCTTTTCTCTGACAAAGCATTTGGAATTTAGGGGGTTGTCTCGACTCAGTCACCTCTGGCTGGAAGCGCAAAGTTTTGAAGCTGGAGAAAAGTTTCATCTGTGCATAAAGGGCTTTTGGGGGGGGGGGAGAAGAAGGCAGGGAGGGCAATCAGAGGGAATTTTGAGCCGTCGTCAGGGTTGTTCTAAAAGACGGCAGCATCACTAGGAAATCAATAGTAGGCGGAGCATTGATCAAAACAAATGTGAAATATTAAGTAATTTCGGAATTCATATGGCCTACAAGGCAGGTCTGCGGTTCCATCCGCTGGACCCAGGTAAGGGTGGGGAGGGACAATGACAGGAAATTTGCCTCTTTCAGATTTCTCAGGTTGTAGTTTTTAATTTTTGGAATTAAGGAGCTTGTCTTCTTGGAAGTAAGTTTCTCCGAACTCAGTGACATGTACTCTTACTGAATGGGAATTTCTAAGAAGTCTTACTTCTGAGTAGACGTCTCGGTAACCGAATTTGCTAGAATCCTTTATAACTTAAGCAACATGCTCTGATAAATACTGTATGCTCGCTCGATTAATAAGGTTTGACGTTTCACAAGTAGGCATTTTGGCTGGTTACAAAAAGCAAACCGCTCCTCATAACAAATCTCTTTATATTTTATGATTCAAGCTCCCTGGTGGATTTAATTAAGTTTAGGAGTTTTGTTTTTAACCATTTTGGTTGCATGCTCAGTTCATCAGGCCTTTTTGATTTTAAATGCCCCGATCTATTTGATCCAAATAGAATTTAGTTGAAACTGGGTCTTCTTTATTTAGATGGTTTTCTTTTTTTATTTTCCATCTCACCCGGGCTAGTTTCTTGATTCAGAGAATTATATCCTGACTGAGCTCATTTTCTGGAACAAAAAAAAATCTCAGGGAAGTGTAGAAGTTGGACTAATATAAACCATTCATTTGGAAGGCCTGCCCTTTGAAATCAATAGGATTAACAGCTAAGGGTGACAATTGACTTGAATGGCTTTAACCAGATTCGGATGACTTAACCATGCTACGTGATTTGCAGCCAGTCCGTTGATATTCACGACAGCATCCACGTCTGTTTCTGTGCCCCCTCGTATAACCCCAGATGAAACCCTTTCTCATTTTCAACTGCTATTAACAGCTACCGCCCCATTGAAATGTCCAGGAAAGTCCCATTGATAAACAGCAGACGCAAGAAAAGCCGCGCAAATTTCAGTCGCCTCTGGATTAAAGCAGTTCCTGCTTTTCTTTATTTGAAGGGGGGACCTTCTCTATTAAGTGATCCGAGCTGACAAGTGTTTCCGGAAATGGGCTTTCTTCAGAATTTGAGGTGTATTCTGCTAAGTGCCACGATCTCAGGTAAAGTACTTTCGCCAGGCCTTTTAAAACAGAAAGTGACATTATAGCCCACCCGTGATTGATCTGAGCGTTCATCGAAGCGCTGAAAAACACCTGCAGTCTCCGATCTGCCGAAAGGAGACCGCTAATCGTTTACACAAAAAGTAAATGGTTCATCAAGTGTTATTTAAATCGCAGGAGCCGTTACGTGGTTAGTGCAGCCACCTGTTCCTTGGTTAGTTTGGGATCTTAATAGGGAAGGCTATTTAAAATGCAGTAAGTATCTGTGGTCTATCTAAAATTACCTTCAGGACGTTTTTAAAGAGGAGATGGGGAATTAGAGCTTCCGCACCCTCAACGGCATATACTTTTTCAGAAAAATTAATATTTAAAAAGTATGAATCCAATCTCTTTGCTCAAATAAATAAAAACATGCTAGTGAGATGCTTCATATTATATCCATGTATTTTTTTTTTTTAGTCCATAACATATGCACTCAGCTCAGACAGTAGGTTAGCTCCAATTCTAGGTTTTCCAATACCAGCAAAAAAGAAATTAAAAACATGTCCATTTAGAGCCTGAAAAATAAACGTGTTTTCCCCTCTCAGACTACATTCAGTAGATACAATTTTCAGTAAAATAATACATGTGTAACATTGCCAAAAAGTTTGCTTTGGGGTCAGGTTTGAGGATGACAATGTATAAATGCCTAGTACTTCAAAATGAAGTCATTTAGGCTTTCCCATCTCCCCGAAAAGATGTTCTATAGAATGGCTATTGATCTTGTCAATATAACTTGCTTCCAATATGTGTGCCTAGTTCTAGCATCCTAATGTTGGCCTCCGCCACTTTCAGGGTTTTTTGTTCATTTTAAATAAAAGAATAATGTAACCTTGTCCACATTTACTCGGATGTTCCTCCCTAATCATTGCCTAAAGCAGAAGCCTCAAAGTGGAATTTCTGTATAAATGCATTGCATTTTTGTCACATTTTAAATTGCTGCTCCCCATTTCTCACAGTACATACATTCCTTCTATCACACAGATAAGACACTGTCTCTTGAATAATAGCAGGGTGTGTGCGTGTATGTATGTGTATATCTGTCTATCTATTCAGTTCAGATCCACCACCTTTGGAACCAAACTGTCTAAATCAAAGCAAATATTGTTTCAGGTAAGGCAAGTCACACATTTCTTTTTGCAACATCACATCACGGATTAATCCCTTGCACTTTAAAAATCTGGGAGCTGATTGTGCTGGGTAGACCAGCAGTGATAAAGAATTAAGAAACACTTAGGACCTAAGGCTTTTACAGAAATAATCAAAAGCTAAAGATAGTAGAAAAAAGCATGATTGCTCACCTTGAATCAATGACAAAGCCAGACTCGGGAGGGAGAACTATATAGATTTCTTTACAGAGGATGGATTTTTTTTTTCCATTAAAGCACCTTTATAATTTATCTATTTTTAACTGTGAGGTGGCGTGACTAATCCACAATCACTAAGGCTTGCAGAGCTGCCTTCTTCCCATGTGGAAAACTTTCCCAAGTTTTTAACTCAATCATGAGGGGAAAAAAAACAGTTTACAGAAGTGCCTTTCCTGACATGGAAATTTCCTGGTATGAAACTCCTATTAATTTGTAGTTGATTCTTTTTAATTAATAGAGGAACCACAGTTTTATGCAAATATGTTACGGTCCAAAGCTTCAAAACTTGAGAGGAATTTTCAAAAACTACATGAAAATGAAAGATTCTTAACTAGACAGCAGGGTGACTTAACACAAGTCCCATCTCTAGATTCATTTTCTGATTGCCACTTGTATATATCCTAGCTGGCTTTCAATAAAAATTACAATATTTTGGCCAGCATCTTTATGCAAACACTTATTAAAAAGAAGTGCAATAAAATGAATTAAGAATGTGCCGTTTTTATTATCCATCATAGTTACAGGTGGTGAAAGATGTGCGAGTTTGGAGAAAGAGAAGTAGCCGATTGTTAAAATAAATAATGTATTAGGACTCTATACATTAAAAGCAAAAATAGGGATTAAAAAGAACCCATTTTCCTTCTTTTGTAGACACATTGTCATGCATGTATATTAAAGGCCAAGGAGATATTTATTTTGTATCCAGAATACAGTAAAAAAAAAAAAAAAAAGGATCTGCGTTGAAAACATGCTATAGGAAACATGAATTCCTCGCCGAAAAAGTCCGTGCCACTCCTTTTCTTCTGTACTGGTAGAGATATAGACGCTGTTGGAAATGCTGGACTTCTCAGGGCAAAGGATGGTTTGAAGGTGTATTTTGTAGGAAGACATTCGGAGAGAGCTGGCTCTATTTGCCCATGAATTTTTAAAGGACCGGATGGCAACGGGTAAAAGTCTAATCGTTCTTTAACCCGTATTCTTACTAAAATCAAGGAAACCTCTGACCACAAGGTTGGGGTTGGGTCAGGCAGAAATAGATCTGTGAAGTGCTCGCTTCCTAATGGGAACTTCCTGATAACGCGTCTTTATTTCCCAACTCTTGGTTAAGGAAGAGTCAGTTTGGTACTGGTGTTTCCCCTCCGTTTTCCAGGAGTCTACTGAGGGAGAGCTAACCCTCCGGATTTAGGAGGCTTGCAATCACGTTCCCCTTTTATGAGTCTGCGCTAAATAGCTAGATAGATGAGCGCACGTCGGTTTGACATGGGCTACCGGATTTCGGATGCAAAAGATCGCAGCAAACAGACGCATAACACACCCTTTACTGCCGCCTAGCGATCACTCGGACTTTTGCAGTCTAGATGTGTTAGTCCCAACTTAAAATTCAAAGGCTCATTCAGGCACTCATTAAACCTAAAGATTCCCCCGGTGAGGGGGGAAAAAACACCCGCAAGCTTAATCGGTGGTTTCTGAAAGTTCTCCCTAACTTGCTTTTGTCCCGATGCTGAGAGCGCCGCGTGAAAGCAAGACCTAGAAACGAGATAACTTACACTGAGGGGAACGCCTATTTCCCCGGCTGAAGCAAAGGCGGCCAACGAGAGGCTGGAGCGCATTGCATGCTGGACGTTGTAGTCTAGCTTCAGCGCCCGCCGTACGTGCTGGGCTGTCCGTGCGTGCCACTGAGTTATTTAAATCAGCCAATCCGCGCCCAGCAGCTCACTTGTCGGCGCTGGGGTTGCTGGGAATTGGTCCGGTGAATGTTGCGCGCGCAAGCTTGGTACGGAGTGGAAGGTAGCTGGCGCGGGAGGCTTCCCCTCGTGTAACGCTGGAGGACAAGGTAACGGGAGGGCCTCGTGGCTAGGGAGAGTCTTGGCGCGAACTGTGAGTCTCCCCGACCAGTCCCTTCAAATCGAGAGAGCGTTCCGTGAAAAAAGAAGTAGGCCCTCTGATCTCTCCCCGCGTGACTGGAGTTGAAGGCCCCTTTCTTTCCTCGCTCCCTTTCAGTTCTTCCCACCGCTCTCTTTCCTTCCTGTCTCTGTCACGGCCTCTTCCTGCCTTTAAGGCTGCTTAAGTTGGGGCAGACTTTGGTCTCTTTCCAAGTAAGCATGCATAGGATCCAACTGACTGGTTTTCTTTCGGGGAAGATAAGGAAACCATCCACGCAGATCATCAGCCTTTAGATATGATTTAAAGTAGCCATTCTGGTCAGTGACTGTAATAAAGGTGTTAATGCTAAAGCAGATTTTCTTCATCTGGTGCCCTTCAGAGATTTTGGGGCCACAACTCCCAGAATCCTCATGTTGGGAAGAAGTTGATCCAGAGTGATAAAAGACAGATGAGTTTTAGAAGAAAAGGTACTGAATCTGGAGTTGAAGACGTGGAGAGCCACTAGAGGTGATTGTAAACATCTGGACAATCACTAGATGCCAGCCAGGTGTTAAGACTTTGCTGTCATTTAGTGTCATCCAGATTTTTATAAGTCAGATTTGGTAATTCCAGCACTAAAAGTATTAAGAACAAAAGCACCTGCTTTGTTTGTGCAATTTTTGTTTAGTTTTAAAAAATTAAAGCCCAATTCTATATATCTGTACTTTGTTACTGAGATTGTCATGTTTTTTTCTTTTAATTCTTTCTATTTTACTTTAAGAGCATATTGGAATTCAGCAGCATATAAATTGCAATAATAAATGATTGCTAGTGAATTCATTTGGGCTTACTGTACAGTATTGGCCCATTAAAAGCACAGTTGGAAAGCCAGTGGGCGTTAAGATTTCTAATGTAATTTGAGTGTTGAGTTTGATCAGGAAGGAGTCTGCCTGGGAATTTGAAAGCTAATCCAGATTAGCCTTGTCTGTATCTCTGACAGACAGTATTAACAATGGACAGCATTACAGGGTTATTGTAAACTTGCACAATAACATTTCAGATTCTTTTATTATTAGAGACAATGCCTCTGATAAATTTTATGTATACGATAATACTGGACTGTTTTTATATAAGCTAGTTTTTCTGAGGTAAAAGTAATTTCAACAGTTATAATTTATGTTTACCTTTTTAGTAATTGACATAAATGCTCTTTAGATACGTAAGTACATAAAATAATGATCAATACATTTGAAAACTGCTTTACGGCTAGAATGGTTTTTCTTTTTTAGTTCATATCTGAATATCAATTATAACATAGTTGTTACAACATATAAATGTCACAAATATTCCAATGGAAGAGAATATATGTAGCTCAGGGTTGAACTGTGGAGTCCTTGGTGGTCTCTGAGCTTGGTTGTTTGCTTGCAGGTGTTTCATTACCCAACCAGATAACATCAATGCCACTGCATCATCAATGCCATGCAACATCAATGTCACTGATGATGTTACCTAGTTGGGTAATGAAATGTCTGCAAGGAAAAAACTAAGCTTAGAGAGCACCAAGGAACTCCACTGCCACAAATATGTACAATGTGAAATTCTACTCACAAAAATGAACACATATAACTACAAGAGTAAACCACCCAGAATCACTCTGCAGTGAGATGGGTGGTGACAAGTTTGAAACATATATAAATAAAATAAATGCGATGAAGTTCTTCACTGCAGTTCGTTCCTGTGGAGGTACATGTTATAGTATTATATAGTTAAGTATTTATTAAGACTTTTGTAATGGAAGTGGAATTATTTAAACAAACACGTTTACCTAGACATGTTAGGCAGTATTTTAAAAGTATGCATCTAATTTTACACAATCTATCAGATGACAGGATCAAATGAATTTAAGCTGAACCAACCCCCAGAAGATGGAATCTCGTCAGTGAAATTCAATCCAAATACATCTCAGTTTTTGCTTGTTTCTTCTTGGGACACATCTGTTCGACTGTATGATGTTCCTGCCAACTCCATGAGACTCAAGTATCAACATACTGGAGCAGTACTTGACTGTGCTTTTTATGTAAGTTTTTTCCCCTCATGTTTTGATTCTTGAAATAGCAAGACAGTATGAGAGAGATAGTTAGTTCATCTAACAGATAATCAGAATTTTGGGCTGTATTCTGAAACATTATGTGTTAGTGTTTTGCACATATGTGGACTTTTTAGCTCTTTCTTTCTGGAAACAGTCTGCATTATCCTTAGAAATCTTTGCAGTTCTACATGGGTTATTTATCTGGGCCTTCAATTAATTGGTGAAAGTACAAACTAAGTACATATTGGTTATGTATTGGTATAATTCTGGTGGTTTTATATATATAAAAGCAATTGTATCCCGCCATATTTAAAATGAGTCTAGGTTGTTCACAATAATAAAAGCAAACTTTTTTTTTTTGGTAGTTTGTGGAATTGAAAAAAGGCAATACTGAAGGTTTTTTTAGCATGAGTTTTTTAATCAGTTCATTTGATATATTTCTCATATATATATATATACACACACACACACACACACACACATACACACATAAACCTTAAAAAGCCCCAGGCTGATTATAAATAACGAAAGTGATTTTGAACCTGAAGATGGGAACTTTCTAAAAGACAAAACATATAAGGAAAAAGGATGAAAAACTGGAGGAGAAAACAAACTTGGTTACCAGTTCTTCAGATTAGTTGCCATAATCTCCAGCTGTAACTTTTCTTGTTTCATTCTTAAAGTCTAGGCAGCAGGAAGGGTGAGTGCCACTAGGTAAAAGGGCTAAAAGCTGAAATCTAGATCTGTTCCTCACCCTCTATCAGGCCCTTACAGCCTGATAGAATTACTGTTAACTAGCTGATAGTTGGGGAAGAAAACAATGCAGATAATTTCTCAGGGATGCTGGAATAATTTTTTCCCTTGTTCTTTAACTGTGCAGCATGTTGGATGTTGCTAGGTGACTGTTGAGGGATGGTTAATAGAGCTCATTTTAGTAGGGGTAATGGAATAGCCTTATTTCCCATCTTACCCTTTACTTTGCAGCTTGGAGTGCTCCCAGGTAATTGGCTTACTGTATTGAGATTTTTGAAATAAGTTAATATACAATCAGTAAATCAAAATAAAATTAAATTAAAAGGCAGGTGACTAGTCAAAACTGGCCTGACCACAATTTTTAAAGTAAATCTAAATAGGAAATCACTTTTTATGTCACTTTTTATAACTAGTTTGTTCTTTCTCATATAATTGTTGCATCTTTGCTTAAGTTTAATTATTTTTGAATATGAGGATTTTGATACACACAAAGTCTTGTTAGCCCGTGGAAGGCAAACCTCAAAATTGTAGTTAGATTATGGCTTTATTAGAACCAGCCCAAATTACATAAATAGTGGATAATTGTTTAAGTTTTCCAGAACCCTTAATCAGGCAAGGTGCTATATCAGTAAGGAAATAGGAGAGAAGCAAGATAGTCCAAAACTCTGACAGAGCCAAAGCCATGAGATCTGTAGATCACTCAGTCCTAAAATGATGACTGTGACACAAAGACTGGTAGACTTTAGTCCATTTAATATTGTTGACAAATGTGTGAAATGAGAGCTTATGTTTTAATCTTTATTTTTGCAATGTGCTTGGGCTACTGATTGAAAATGGTCTTATCTCTAGTGAAGTAGTCTAAGCTAATGGCACTGAGTTGAGCTACTGTTCCTTCCTTGTGTACTGTGAGGAACCTGGGTAACTTTCCTAATGCTTTCTGTTTATGTGTCCTGTTGACAATACCATAAAATTACATAGGAACCCAATCATGATAATCAGTAAGAGAGCAACTATATCCCCAGGTTTCACACGTATCCAACATTTATATACTTTACGTGACACTGGGAAAAAAAGTGCCTTTTACCGTGATTATTGTGCAGTTATAGAACATGTGAACAATTTTGTTTGTTTGAAGGACCCTACACATGCCTGGAGTGGAGGATTAGATCGGCAGTTAAAAATGCACGACTTGAACACCGATCAAGGTAAACTAACCTGACAATGTCATAGAGTCTGCAGACAGAAAACAGAATATGCTTCAATAGCAGAACATGAGGGCAGCAATCCAGTACTTACTATCCAAGAAAAAAACTTCCTTACACTTCCTGGAACTTATTTCTGAGTCAACACATGGGACTTCAGTATAATTCAGCAAAATAGAAAAGTAATCTGACAATTTCATAAATTGCTACGGATGTTTTTGAAAGATTTTTTTTCTCTTTTTCTCTATATAAAACCAGCTACAGTGTAATTTTTTTATTTAAACACTGCCTCTTTCCTTTGTCTAACGAAACATGGGGAGGAGACAATATTATGTCTCATATTGTAGACAGTGATTGTTTCACTTATTCTCTCCTTTCTAGGTTGTATTTATGGGCAATTTAATGTCACAGGCTTCCTTTTCACAATATTCTATTTGCCAGAGGTTGTGGAAAATAGGCAGTCACTCATCTATAAATTATTAGAACACCATGGGCATGTGTACCCCAGTATTTGACAGATCCCTATTCCAAATTATGTTAAATTGTTCCTGAAGCTGCTTTGAGTTTTTTAAAAAAGTGGACTTTGAAAGGTATTTATTTTAAAGACAAAAGTGGACTAGTTTTGTATTTAGCTGACATTTTCTTTGAAAATTTTCCATGAGAACTTTTCACAGATTATTTTTTTTAAATTGGAGGCTAATGGTGCAGTCTGAAGAAAGTAGCTTACTAAATGTTTGATACATGAGTATATAATTGCAAATTATTATGACTTGTTAAGGGTATTTTCCAATCCCTATCCTTACAATTTTAAAAACTGATAACTAATTTTTACCCTTGCTATTGTGAACAATGATCTGGCACTTAGATATTTGGAAGCAGACCAGCTGAATGAAATGAGATGCTATCATGTAAATGAATAAAAACTTTCCAGAGAGTACATAAATCCTTTGAAGATATTGGAAAACTGAACTGTAACTATAAAGGAGAAAGCTATTTAAAATAATAAAAGATTTTAAACTGAAAACTGTACTAATTTGTTTTTATCCCAAGTTAGGAAAAGAATGTATTAAACATCACTTTAAAAGCTTCTAAAACAGTTTAATACTACATTGTATGTTGATAAAATGAATAGTAATGTAGGAAGAAAGGGCTTATTGACAATGGTTTGTTGAAATTGTCTGGTATCTTAATAGCGGCAACCGCATGCACTAATGTGGTCATGCCACATTCACCAATTATTAGATCTCCCTGATATGCCATTCATGACTAGGCTTTTCAGTTGAGTCCAGCAGTTAGGTGCACAAATCTCTTTTATTCATTTGAAAATCTCTGCATGGGTACCAACTTCTCTGCTAAGCTTCTTTGAAATAGTGAGTTGATACCTATTAGTCTACATTTAACACTTCAGAAGTGTATTTCTGTTGCAAAGATTAGAGGATCAAGCATTCTTTAAAGGATGCTCCAGCATCTACATACATTAATGAATGGCCTGTCAGACCTTGGTACTTGTGCATGAATATTGCTCTATTCTTTTTATTACACTTGACTATCAATGAATCCAGTAAAGCTAAATGCATTACTTTTTTTTTTAAACAGAAAATCTTGTTGGCAGTCATGATGCTCCTATCAGATGTGTTGAATATTGTCCAGAGGTGAATGTAATGGTAACAGGAAGTTGGGATCAAACAGTCAAGTTATGGGATCCAAGAACACCTTGTAATGCAGGAACATTTTCTCAGCCTGAAAAGGTTTGTCTGTAAGTTATTTAGTGGCTATATGTCCTTTTAGCAGGGACTAATTCTACTGAATACAATATATGTCTCAGTAGACGTAGGATTGCAGAGTTACCGTATTTTTCCGACAATAAGACGCCCCCATGTACAAGACGACCCCCACTTTTC